CGGACGCGGTTAACCTTGCGTTTACATTTCGAGCAACCATATACAATAAATCTCATGCACATTAATTTAGGGATTTCTCAAAATGGAGTGACCGAGCTCATATATCCTTGCCTCATATACAATATCACTCATTAAAGACTTTCGTTCTAAATTTAACACTGTCGAGGCAGAATATATTCGAACTTGGAACATTATATACGAATCTTTGTTTATTTTCTTCTTTGATTGCCCGTATACGTCAAATTCGTGTAACTACCGAATGCCATTGTCAATAATACAGAATGTCAGGCTTATTGTATTTGTTATTTTGCTTTCCAAACGTAAGCTCTTATATTTATTAAAGAAACATTTCTTTTTCAGGGTACTATTTGCTTTTACAGTCTTGTTGACATCATTGCCAACTCATTGGACCTTGGGGGCTCACAAAGGAATTACATTGAATTACGCGTTTTAACCTAATCTCGGTCGAATATTTACAACTCGAGCCTGCAATTTCGTTACGCCTCTTGTGTTCGTTGCGCCTGTGCGTGCGAGTGTTTTTTCCTCTTCCCATACCACCCCCCCCCCCCCCCCCCCCACCCCATCCCCCAAAAAAACCAGGAATATTTCCCATTGAATGTTATATGCAGTTACATCGATTGCGCGCCATATCGGTCCTGCAAAAACCATCTACCACGTCAATCCCCGGCCGATAATGCAATTTCGACCAAACCCGGGACCATTAAATTTCCGACCAAGCCTTTCTTCGACTTCATTAAAAGATCCTCGAGCACTCTGTGTCTTATAATTTGCGCAAACTTATTTCACCTTAACCATTGTGCATTTCTATTTAGCTGGCGTTACATACTTGCGCCTCATAATAAATACAACATTAAGCGAGGGAACGAAAGTACACAAGACAGATGCGATTGTGCGTGCTGAAAGGATGGGGTCGAACGATGCGTGTGACTCTCAACTAATAAGCGGATTTCCGTGATTATCAATTATGCCAAATTACAAGACTCCGCTTGTTTATTTTTATTTTATTTTCTAACTTACTTGATTGACAGCCTGATGCCTATAATATGTATAGATACGCACTAATCGACTTTCTTTGTCACTTTGAAGTTGGCTGCTTCATCCTTTGACGCTTATTTTTTCGAATAGCACATGCATCGACATATTTGTGCGAACAATACTCGCCCTAGGAAACCACAATGTGATTCTTTTTAGATTAAATAATATTTATAAATATTGAATATCAATATTAACAATAGCTTTTTAGCAATATCGCAGAAAGACGTAGGAGCGGAACAATTTCATTGTTTTGTTTTTACGTGTCGGTTAGCATATTTGCAAAAAATTTCTTTTCTAACTTTTATTAAAGAAAAATTAAATTATTTAACAATCCTTTACAATCGCAAATAACCGTATTCTCATATATTAATACTTTATTTATAATTGTGACATCTACGATTTGCTTTCAATTATATTATGTATTATGTAATATAGGGGGAGGGGGGGTGTTTATATTTATTCAAATAGACTGATTGATTGAATTCACTGAAATGATTTCCATATTTGTCTATGCTATTTTGAAAACGCCATTTTCACACACATATATATATATATATATGTTAAATACTGTAAACAGCTTGAACTTGATAATTTATAAGACTCATCGATTAACGCTTTTACGAAACTAAAATATACTGCGAGATTTCATAATATTTTAAACATTATTTTCCAGTAAAGAAACTCATATTCCAATTTACTGTACTTATATTTATTAGCAAAAATTCGAATTTAAAATCCTTTCAGACGGTACATTCTAAGCCATGCTTCATACATAATGTCTATATCCAATATTAATTTCATGTATTTTAAAATATTTCCTCCACTTATACATTAATGCTTATCTATTATACTGTTCTAATTGTCTTTTCGTACAAAAAAAAAAAAAAAAAAAAAATAACTATCATTCTTACTATATAATAAAACGAGATAATGATACTGTTCTACATATAAAATTAAATACTTATTCATATTTATATCAGAACCGTGTAAAATTAATATTAAAATTAATTCTAAAATCTATAATTTCATATCTGCTGTTGTAAATATTTTTTATTACGTTACAATGTTTTTTGTAAGTACTAACAAAAAAAAAAACTAATAATCTCATAACTGCTAATGTTTTTAAACGAAGTATTTTTCTTAAACTTTATTTATTAATTTGTATTTTAAACAGTTTATACTTAATAAAAATTAATCTATATATTTTGATAATAAGAGTTTATAATATTTATTTTAGGATTAATATTATTGTTTTACCAACTTTTAGTCAAATATTAGTCGTCTTAAGTATTAATTCGCGATTACTTTCGCAATAATGAATATTTGAATAATTTGTTGAAAGAGAGAAAGCGCCTCGGTTTCACGAATTATTTCTTTCTCTTCCGTTAAAATTTTTTTGAAAAATACATACATTACATTAATATATTTAATATTAGAAATTACAGTGTATCGCATATTTAAAAAATGATGTATTTTATTATACGGTGAGATTAACTTTTTAAATTTTTTTCAATAAAAGTTATAATTGTTTGTACTCAATTGGTTTGAATTAAACTAGTTTTATAATTAACCTAAAGACTTATCACCAGTACTTAATACAATATTGGCCTTAATTTTGATCGCATATACATATATGAAATACAATTTGGATATTATATTAAGCACAATTTATATTATACAAATAAAAGAAATGTTTAGATAAATTTTTATAACAATATTTTAGTTATATTAACGCATTAATAAAATCTAAAATCGTCTGAGCAAACAGCACTGAAGTAAAAGAATTAACTGTCTATTATCGTTCATTGTTAAAGAAACAAATATTAATAATATTTTTTCAAATTATTCACAAATAACATGCAAAAAGTTATTCAAATTAATGCAGCTTTCATTAAGCTATTTATATTAATATACAATAACGTCAAAAGTAACACGGATGTATCACGGTACTCTACAACTAAACATTATTTATATATATATATATATATATATATATATATATGCGTTGATGTACATTTTTTGTAAAATCTGAAATTAATGAACTGATAAAATACTGTTGATGTACATTTTTTGTAAAATCTGAAATTAATGAACTGATAAAATACTAAGATTAGGCACAACTTTCTTAAATTATATGATAACAAATTGTATTAAATGTTGTTCATAACTATTAACGCATCTAAATTTGTTTCTCATGTAAGAAATCAAAAAATCCCAAGTCCCGCAAGTATAACACACGCAAATAAGGGATGCGATCATTTTCGCAATTTTTGCATTACGGATTTATTAAGGGAGTGCTAACCACGATCTTATATAAGGAATTATCGCGTGCAATACTCTTAAAGTAGTCACATTTGCGATCGCGCAATTGCCAATCTCCTTGCGCTCAGTTTTCGATTGTCATGACTCGTCATCCTTTCCCTCCTCGGTCAATGATAAGCCCATTTTCTCTTTCAGAGAATACGCGAGTGCGAGTGCGAGTGCGCGCGCGCGCGCGCAACTCGCCGGGGTCAATCGAGTTCACCGCAATAATATGCACTCGGGCGCGTGAACGTGACCGTCTTCGACTTTCCGCTTACATATAAAAATGTTAGCGCTGTCGCCTGAGAATCGCGATCGCTATTCTTTACCGAAGTCGACCTTGGGAACGCGTCGCGGCTTCGCATGTCATTTTATCGTCAGCCCGATGTATGGCTTTCTTCTCTTAAGCTGTTCGATAGAGGGGAGGGAGAGAAAGAGGTGGGAACGAGGAAGATTAAGCGGTTGAAGGAGAGTTATCATCTCATTCCTACGCGCCTGGGAACTCGTACCCATTGCTGTCAGACATATATTGCCTTTCGTGAAACGTGCTTTTCGTAATCAATCAGTGTATCAATAATTTTAAGACATTGTGATACGAAATGATAATAACACGAGTGCTTTATTGTTACTAGAATTTAATTTACTATATGATTCCACGTAAAAAATTTTCACGTGAAATATCACATTGCCGTTAAACGCACTATGTAGATATGATGCTGTGATAAAAATTATAAATTCACACAGTAGCCGTAAATTTCCCCTGTATTTCAATTAAATAAAGTTTTATGTTCATTGTTTAATAAAAATTATTATTAATCTTAAAGCCAATTATAGTAGCTCGAAAATTTTCATTAAAAAATAAATAATAAGTAATAAGTTGTTATAAATGCATTTATTAAATACATAGAATATAATTTTATGTATATAGGTATGAATTTTTTAATAGAAGTAAAACAAGTATTCTTAAAAAATATTAAAAACATATTTTAAGGAATCAGTATTATAATGGCTATAATAAAATGAGCTTCAATATTTTTATTTTGAACGAAAATTTGATGCAATATCATACAAGTATAACTACATAATTGATTTTATTTAATTTCAAATAATAATTGTTTACAAAAATTAAACTGTTAAGAATTTGATAAATTATTTGAATAAAATTAATGTTAAAACAATTGAAAATTTAATTCGATTGTTGTTAAACCAATAAATAATTTCTTAATTAGAAAGTGCATTATCACCATAAATAATGGTGTTATAACAATTCGAATTTATATTTCTTGCGATGATATAATTGCATATAAAATTAAATGATGCCCATTAAATATATATATTAAATATACATTAAATATATATATATATATATATATATATACACACACATATATATATATATATATATATATATATATATATATATATATATATATATATATATATATGTGTGTATGAACAAAAATAATGATTTGCCATCATAACAATCGATCTTACTAATACATTTTTTTAATATATATTATTATAATTTTCGTTATTATAATATCAATTTTTACATTAAATAATAAAAGTGTACTTCCAATCTCAAACGCTTACTAGATATTATAGTCTTATAATTATTTTGAACGTCAATAAATATAACTTACCATTTTCACCATCAGTCAATGGGCTGTTTTCTTCTTCTCCTCTTTTTATACGCTCAACTTAATAAATAAAATAAAACAAGTTATTTGTTTACTTATATAACAAAATAACGTAATTTATATAAAATAATTAAGTTCACTCACTATGGTGCATTTGATTTTGACTGTGATGCGATGGCGGTTTTTTCTCAGGCCGAATACGTTCCATCAATTTACTAATACGGTCATTGCCCCTTTCTTTTCTAACTAAAGGACCCGGGCAGTTCTCTTCCACTACTCGAACACATTGACGATGAACATTTAAGGAACAATCTATAATTAATTATATATTTTTTAATATTATTATTTACAATCACAGATTTTTCATATTACATAAGCTTTAAATGAATTTAAAACTCACTTCCACACTGATAACCCTGAGGACCAATTCCACCGATAATAAATTGGCAGTGATTGCAATATGTGACTGTGAAGTACTGATGGGCAACAAAATGATGACCCCTTACTGCCATTTTTCTCGCTTTTGCAGCACTTAATCTAGCTTTAATATGCGATTTATCTTTTGCGACGAAAGTTGGCACACGATCCAAAGATATTGGACGTACTTGTAATACTTTTGTTAAAACGGTTGCAAGACTCACTGCCGTTGCAAATTTTCGTTGATCAACGTTTTCTTTTTCAATATCTTCTCTGTAAAATACAAGTATAACACTTTCAAATATGACATATAGATAATTTTAATTACTCTTTACACATTGATCCTTATAAATATATTTTGACTTTAATTATTTATATAGAGAATAGACTTGAGTTACTACTTATAGTAATGTTGAATCTTCTTATTATATCATTATATTACATATATTTATACTTAATTTTGTATTTCAAAATTTATACTTATTAACAGTTTTAATATTAGTATGTAAATGTGCAGTTATATTAATTTTTATAAATATCATTCGAAACTTACAAATACGTTTCCATTTTTGGTAAAAGATATGTTTCGATAATTTTAGTTTCTCTACTTTTATCGCAAGCACTTTCATCCAGTTGGGCATCACTTGGTCCAAAAAGTGTACCTAATCCAGCTGTCCTTTTCTGTTGAAAATCGGCTAATTGTTCGTTAAGCTCTTCTTTTGCTCGATTTCTTGCTTTCCAAAATATCTAGAATTAAAAAAATAATGGTTACCATAAAAAATGGAAGATAAATCAGTATGGCCTTAAAGATTAAATACAGAGGTTTAATTTACTTTTCGCAGAATTTCTTCCTTGTCTGATTCCTTCAGTAACACATCATCAATTTCACGAGCAACATTTTCATCTACATTATTTAGACGTAGAGGCTAAAAATATTTTACAAATATTAACAAAATAACGATAAAATGATAAAATTATTATATAAAGATTAAATATATTTACAGCTCCAGGTACAAGAAAACTTGAATGAATTTCATAAGCCCACTTTCTCATTTCCTTAGCATTGCCCTCCTTATATAAATCCGTTATAAGATAAAATAACTGAAATAAAATTCGTTTGTTAAGTATTTTTATTTTTAAATGTTCTAAGCAAAGAAAAACAAATTTGTTACCAGACTAGAGGGATCGCTATTTGATAGTACATAATTAATAAAAACAGCAAGATGAGCATGATGTTGCCACAACCTAGACAGCAATTTAAATGGTCCGTGATCTTCCAATTGTCCCTATAAAATATTATATATTTAATTAAATCATATAATTAATAATGAGTAAGCATTTGAGTGACGAATAGTAGCAACATAATGAATTTCTATAAGACGAAAAATTAAATGGATTATTTTAAATGTACTTACAACTTCTTGATCGCTCATATCATCGTCTTCCATTGACATAATTGGTTGCTGAATCATTGGCAGTCCTGGATTACTTCCATCTAATATACTATGTGATCTAGGTGAAGATACCGCAGCATTGAAGTTGTCTAGAATATTCTATAATAGAATAAATAATATTACACAATTAAAAGAAAAAAAGGTTAGCAATTATTATTTTACTATGATATCTTTTTTAATTAAGAGAATCTCTACCGTATCTACCATTGTTTTAAATAAATATTATAATAAACTGATGTTAAAATTTATTTTTGAAAGTTATGTACAATATGCAAATTTAAATATTTTAAATACTTGAACGAAAGAAATTACAATTAATATTGTTTTGAAAATTCAGAAATATTTATAAACATTTATAAAACATGATATATTCTTTTTAAATGAAATCTTTTGATTTAGGAGACTTTTATAAAATGAGATATATTAATTTATAGATTGTAATTAAAGATTTCGAGTGGTAGTGATGTGACTGTTATAATAAAATGAGAAAAGCAAGAAAGAAAAATACTTTACAAATACTTTTAAAGCAATTTTTGAAAAAAAAAAAAAAAAATTAATTATTTTATTGCATTGAGACTTCTGTTTGAAGCGTCAGATTTATCAGCAGGATTGGACAGAGGTCATCGAAGGCTCACCTCGTTGAGATTCGAGCAAGTGACATCGTCAAGGCTGGGTGCAGGATAAGGAGGTGGCGGTGTGCCAGGCGGTGTTCTATGCCCGGGTGGATCATCGAGGTCGATACCACTATGACGTCCTCCTGGTCGCCCTGATCCCGGTGGTATCAGATCGCACATGGACTCCGAAGCGATAAGCTGCCGACTCGCCTCTGCTGGCGACATGATACCTAACTGTTCAGGGCTCGATTTAGTGCGCTGGTGTTTGTTCATACAGCAACCAAAATTTGCACCCTGAGAAAACTAAAACGACGCGTTAATGAATGTATCGAAGCTCATGTTCTCGATACTATTTATTTTTATATATATATTTACTTATTCGTTTATTCATATCCTCTTTTTAGGATGAAATTCTATTGTTAACACTGTTGATAGCAACGAAAATGACAATATTTTAATACTAGAGCTTTTATGATAATTATGTACTTTCGGAAATGTTAGTATATATTTAATTGAATGAAGTAATAAAAAAAGAGATTTAATGTAAAACTCGTTGAAAAATTACAATCATATTTGATAAGATTCTGATATTAATACGAGTCTAAGTCATGGATTATTCGTTATTTAAATTTCGTAATCATATTTAAATCTCTCATCAGTAAAAAAAAAAGTGAAAGATAAATATCAATAATTAATGATAAAAAGAAATACGCATTTCTTGTAGTAAAGTAAAAGGTTTTAAACATTTTTTTAACGTAGCAAAAAATAAATTTCATTAAATTTAAATGATTAAAGTGATCCAATTAAAGTATATGAATGTATTAACAGCTTTGATTCGTAAACTTATTATGAAAAATACGCATGCATGCGCTTATAAACATTATTTTCAATAATAGAATGAGATTTTCATGATTCATGACATATTTAAAATTTTAATGAATAAAGAAAAGCTTTCACTGTGAAACTCCTTAGATAAAAGCTTATTAATAATATATCAACGTTATAGTAAATAATAAAATTAATCCCATGCATCAATGAGTTGAAACATTTAAAAATAAATAAAGAAGTAATCGATATATATTGTAGGGATACAGTGTACTGACAAAAATATTTTAACATAAATGTATAAACAACACATGTATCTACTATAAACAAAATATCCTTTATATACATACATGCATATATATATATATATATATATATATACATATGTACAGACATCATGCATAAATACAATGCTCACATGTATACATATAATAAATTCCATAAAAGTTATTAAGTATATTTTCAATAACTAAATTTTAACATCAATTCATTGAATATGATTCAAGAATAATATTCATAAAAAATATACAAAAATTCGAATTAACCTTCAAAAATAATTTTATTTTATTCTTATCAAACCATTACTACTGACCACTCCCAATATAGGAATTAAATTAGAGCTCTTCATACATGGTTAACATTGGTTAATATCCACTATACCCTAAAGTTAAGTAATCAACTTGTTGCTTGTAACACTGAGAATAATCACGTACGATACAGTTTAATTATACTAATACATTCAATTGCTATTTTAATAATTAATTCGCATTTGTATACAAATCATAACCCAGTTAGTAAGAGCCTCAATTTTGATAATTTCAGGTCTGTCAGTACACCGCACCCTATACTGAATATCTCAAAAATAATTAAAATAAGTAAAGAAAAAAAAAAAAAAAAGAAAAAAAAATCAATAAAAGACAAGAAAAAAGCACAGGGTGTGAAAACTAGCCTACTTACAGAGTTAGGTATACCACTGGCGATGGGAGGCGTTAAGTGTCTCTCCGGCTCTGACTGAACTATGTTCTGTGAGTTGGGAGGTGGTCGTGGTGGCAAGGGTGGCGGAGCCAGGCTCTGCATGGATAAGGACTTACGAGAGGGCAGAGGTGGCGGTGCATCACCACTGCTCGAGGCAAGTGTGTGCTGGTTGGAGGGAGAGGAGACGTTTGTTACCAACGAGCAAAGCTGTAAGACACAACAAAAGCTGGTGAAGTTTCTCGTTTTTTTGTTATTATTTATTTTTATTGGAATTTCTAAGTTATTGCTTATACGATAACAAAAAAGAAATTGCTGAGAGATTTTATCACACAGGCTCGCTTAAAACTTATCATCTCAAATTATTACATGTATTATTGTAACTTTTACTTTATCCAAATCGTTATGACTATTTTCCTCATAAATTTACTGCACTACAAATACATTTATAAAATTACAATAGACCGAACTATGATTCTCATCAATATTTAAGTACAAACGATCTTTTATTTATATATCCAGTACTCACTCATATAACAGATATTTATTTAACTCTACTTTTAATTTTTTATTATCAAACAGTACACTTGCAAAATATAAATATATATACTAAAATATAATATATATCTACAAATTCTCATAAGTTTATTACTCATCGATTTTTCTTGATACAAAATTGTTACATTTTTTTAAACATAAAATTGAATATTTTATTGGTCTTATTAATATAAAATGCAGAGTATAAATTACATGCTATTGTTAACTATAAGAATTTCTAAGAAAAATTATGAATAACTAGATAAATTTATTTGATATATCTTATTTGCTTATAGCTTTCCGAGGAACATAGAAATAACAATCATTCAAAGTTAAAATTAAAATATTACATGTAAATTCTTATTTTATGCTAATAATTTTATGCTGGCTAGAGTAAATTAATAAGTGTAATTATTTAAAACATGTTGTCACAACAACGCAAATTCTCGTTGATCTTTGGTTAAAAAAACAAATAGTTTCCTTCCTTTAATGATTAAAATTGTTCTATAAAGTTATAGTTACGTTAATCAATATATATAAGTTTGTGTGTGTGCGCGCGCGCGCGTGTGTATAAACATGTGTGCCTGCGTGTGCGCGTGCTTGTGCGTTTTGGTGCTTTAGACAGTGATTTGTTATATTATACACAATACATTTACCCAAAAAATAGTAATAATTCTGAATTAAGGCATTCCTAATAATTTAATTAATTAATAAATGAGTAGTTAAACTGAATTATTAGATGCAGTTTTATCATGAAAAATAGATAGTTTCGAAAAAGCAATCATACAAAATTAATAACAATTTATACAATATATCTTTACAATTCAAATTAAAATAAAAAATTCTTAATATTTTTTTTTTTTTTTTTTTTTTTTTTTTTAGTAAATAACTATACAAATATTATTTAAAAGCAAAGGTTCTCTGAATAATTATAATAAAACTAAATTAAAATGTTTTTATACCAAATATTGCTATACAAACACTAATTTTAAATTAGAATTACCTTAAAAGAAATATACATTTTTGCAAACCAAGTGTGTAATGTGTGACTGCATGTAATTACAAATGAAGAGTGAAATAACCACTTAAATATAATTAATAAAATTGCCCAAACAAAAAAGGAATGAAAATTAATATTTTTTTCAGTCTATCAAACTATCAAAAACAAATCTTCAACACATTCTAAACAAAAATGATCATTATAAACACACATTTTCTACTGATAAATATATACACATAATTTTAATACACTAAAAACAAGCTTTAGAGTAATAAACTATTAATAAGAAATATTCATACTTGATCTAGTGGCTCTTGTAATTTTTTCAACCTTCGTTCTGCATTGGCAAGTTCCGTTTGCAATGAAGTAATATTATTTGCATTTCCAGCACCTGCTGCAGCTTTCGCTAATTCACTACGTAGTTTTTCAACGTAATTTTGTTCATTTTCTAACATTAATTGCAATGTAAATACACGCTGAGTTTCCAATTGCCGTCTTTTTTCATGCTATACACAAGAAAATGATTGTGTTACAAAATAGTGTAACATGCACACTTACTTCTATGAAATTTTTCGTATAAACAATTTTATATCAAATATTTACGGAACATTGTAAAATAAAAGTTTATATTAAATAATTGTATACTTTAGAGTATAAATATTATAAAATGACAAAATTTACGTCAACTGGCTGAGGTCCGGTAATTCTTTCGGTACAAGAAGTTGGTACGGTTGAAGCTCTATGCAGAGAAGTCGCTGCCTGTACAGGTGACACTAATACAGAACTTGTTGATAAACTTGTTGGTCGATGATGTTGCGACGAAGATAATCCAGTAGCCATTGTTGTAACAGATTTCTGCTGTACTGTCAGAACTACTTGTGTTGATGCTAAAATTAAGAATATTTACAATAAATACAATGCAATAATTATAAATATTTAACTCTGGCGCGTAAAAGCATCGTTATATCATAATAAATTTGCGTAAAATATAAAATTTACACGATTACTAAATAAATTGATAAAAATATTTTAACCTAAGATTTTATTAATTAAACTAACTGAAGATAAGTTTTTCAATGTTTAAAAATTCAATCATTATTTCAATTAATTGAATTTATACGATGAATGAAAGCAAGATAAATTATGACAGAACTGAAGGTGTCAGCGCTATAAACACTATGCTTACATCATCCTGCCTCAAGCTCACTTCAGTTTTATTTCACACTACTACAATATACATGCGCATGGGTATGCATGCATATGCACATACACGAATTAAACATAGAATTACGGATAACCATTGCTCAATTACAGTACCAACAATACACTTGGCTTTTATAGTCTGCATAATAACATCGATTTATTACAAACATTAATTAATTGATTAATCATAAACTTAAAATATCATTACTTAATAAAATTTCTTTGACTTATATGTTGTATGTATGCTATTAATTATAATGCATTTTAGAATAATTTTATAGTATCATTTAATTTAGAATTTAAAACAAATATAAAATTATTTTTACATATACGTTGTTTAAATACGTTATATAAAAGAGTGAATAAATAATTTGCTTACATTTAATGAGATTAACAACTTCAGTGTGCGTTGATTGCATTACATTCACTCCATTCACCTGGAACAATGAATAAAGTGATTAGAAAAGATAAAAATAATATATGTGTATTTTATATACATCATTAAATCTTTCATTAATTTTAATTTAATATTAGAAAGTAATATACCATGGCTAGTTTATACTATGAAAGTGTTGTGTTACTTGAAAATGCTAGTTTATTAAATATTGAAGAAAAAAAATAGTACACTTCAAAGTGTGTGCGTGTATATATAATTTTGTAATTAAAAATGACAGAATTTTATTATTACAAAATTAGTGTAGTAAATAAATTTTGGCCGTTAAATAGATTAATTTTAAAACGCTAACATATTATTTCTAAAGTATAAACTTAAGCTATGACAAAAATGATTTATTACTTATTTGTAAATGATAATTTAAAAATATAAACGATTTTCAAATTTCTTATATTTATAACACTTAATAAGCTTCAAACGAATTGAGAAAAAAAAACACAATTTCTTCTTATTTAATATTTATGAAGAGGTCGATAGAGCTTTTATTAAATTTTAGTATATTTCCAGTTATCAAAAAGTTAATAAATGCGTTAAATGTGATTTGAATTATTTCAACATACGGTTTTATTATATCACTAATTTCATGCAGTATAAAGAATTGACAGCGGCTAATACTTTTCTCAAATAATAAATATACTCAAATTTAAGACAAATTCATCAATCTCGTAAACTCATATTACTTTTAAGCGACAAATTATAGCTAGGAATTTTGACATTTTGAAATTTTGAAATTTTGAAATTATTGATTAAATTCTAGTATTCGTCATATATCTTGGTAAGATAATACATATGAGTTTCTAAATTTAGTTGTAATTCAAGAACAAGTTTGTCAAACATGAGTCATTTGACTGCATATCATTATTGTAGCTCTTTCTTATATATTCTATGAAAAATGACGAGCCATCTTTTTTGAAGAGTCAGTATGTTCAATATTTAAAAACAGCCCTCTTAAACATTTAACATACAATCTTTTTTAATTACCATAGATTTAAATTAACCAATACTGTGCTCAATACTAATGAATCTATTGCTTAATAGTCATAGAAAATATATCTACAAATGTGCTTCACTTTAAATTATATTTTTATATCTTTATATGACTCTTTATGATATAAAATTTTTGACAAACTATATTATCACACATTATTTATTTAAGAATTAAAGATTGATACCTGCATCAATTGTTAAAAATAAAGAAATGTCTATTTTACCATATTTTACCATAGTTAGTTTAACTTAATTGTTGTAACCTTACACACGAAAATACATATTACAAACACAGTGTCTATGTTTATTATTACTCGTATAATACATAAAAAATATGGAAATCCTGACAGCATAATTTTAAGCTGCAAATGACACGTCTATTGAAAGTAATAGAAGAGCATAAAACGAGAGCATGAAATTCTTTAAAATCTACATGTACACTCGTATAAGATTAACTGAAATATATCAAACGAAACTTACCTTGATTATTTTGTCACCTTCGTGAAGGCCAGCTCTCGCAGCCGCGCCACCTAAAAAAGAATAATATTAAAGTATAGATGTTACAAAAATTTTTTTTTTTAATTTAGGAATTCTAGTGTAGCGATCGGTGTAAATTAATTGTCTTCTCTGTGAATAATTAAAGATAATTACAAAAATTTGGATAAAAGTCATTAATAAAAAATGCATTAGGTTAACTTAGTTAATTATTTCAATATACTATACTTGTTAATTACTCTATTTATTAATACTTCAAATTATTATGTTTATTATTATTATTATAACTTATTCTTAAAGCAAAGCACTGCGTTGGATCTTGATTAATTTTAACTTACAGTAGAAAATCCTACTGTTACATTTTTAAAATCTGAAATTACAACATTGTGCGTCAAAGGGAAAAGTTTTTTTGAATTTCAATATTACATTCACACGTAACGTTAAATCCTTTTTTCAAGTGTTAAGCTAAATTAACTCGTATTAGTAATTTAACTCATAAAATAAATGTTCCTTGTTCTGAGACATTAGTTTGAATGCACATTTTGAACTTACAAAATACCTTACAACTTCTTATAATTATTACGCTATACATTTTGTATTTCGTCAAATCAGTTAAATTCTTAATTATTTAAAATAACAATCAAATAATTATTATTGTAGGATAAAAAGTATTTGAATACAAATACTTGTCATTTTGCAATTCTATCAGATAATTCAAATACAAATTGGACAAATCGATGCTTACATTCAAGATAATGGATACGACTGGATTTTATTCAAAATTTCAGAATAATTATTTGAAAATACATTTACCTTCTTTAACGGACTGAACATAAACTGGCTTATCCCCTGAGACTTTCATTCCATATCCTGCGTAATCTTTGTAAACAACCAACGTGGCAACAGGAACCGGCTCGCCGATTCCACCATCGCCAACACTGTGACGCAGGGCCGTTGTTCCATTCATCCCTTCTAAAGGCTATTGAAAGCCAAATAAAATTGTAATGCTCCTAACGCTGTCCGCTTCGATATTTAGCTTGAAAAGAAGACACGCAAATTTAATGCTCGTCAATCTAATGAAGAGTATCACGTGTCAAATTATTTAAATCTCAGCTATTAGGACAATGTAAGAATAATTGGGATACAAATGAACAAAAATTAAGAAAATTGCCAACAATAGTCGAATAGCGTTAAATTAAAATTTGGTATACAATCGATACAAGCTGTAATTAAGTAACAAGAAACTTTTAAAAAAACTATCAAACATTGTTCTTTTATCTTCTTCGTTAGTATGTAATTAAATTTGCAATTCAAATTTGATAAGTAAATGGCAAACCTTAACTATTCAAGTTAAATCTATTAAAGAGTATGGCATTCTCGTATAGCGTAGGTTGAGAACAAAGTCTACCATAAAAGATAATCTTGAAATTGAAATTGGAAATTTCAGAAAAGCAATCTTTGACAAATATCACTAAGATGACACAACAATCAAGATGATATAGCCGTTCGTGTTTGCTTTTGATATGGAAACAGAAGATTGTCCCAAAATCAACGTTTGGCATAGCGATGCAACAATATCGATCGAATGTCTGTGAATTTTATCGATATCCCTAAGGCATTTGAGTCTCTATTACAGCATACACCAGCTTACCTTCCAAATTTATCATCTCCATGTCTTTAATGAGAACATCGTGCAATGCAGCATCGGCTAAGAGATTCGCTGGCACAATACTGATGTGCACTGGCACCGTTCCCTGGAACAGCGCTCTGAGGCCTTGGTTTTTGGTCGAGTGCCCCTCTTATTAACTTTATCAAGTCATTTAGTGTCCAAAGATCCACAAAACAACAGACCCCTACGTACTTCGACTAGGGTGATAAAAAACGGGCCGCACACGCACGCACGCACGCATACACACACGCTGCCCATGCATCCAAGTAAGAAAATAGATCCATTCGTGGTCGGGCGCACTCGGTCGCGGTCCTCTGGCCGAAGGATTGGGCTACCTCCACGGCTGGAGGAGCTGCTCCGAAACGTCGGAGCGCGTCGTACCCCCCGTCTAGGTGGTACCGACTACTCTTCAACGAGATCGACGATGTCACGGACGCATCAGTCCAGCGACGGCGCAAGTAGATTGTCATAACAAAAGGAGAGGCACGAACATGGCTCGCTGCTACAGAGACGTGAAGGGGCTAATTATTATTGCTCCGCGGTACGTCCGACCGTCTGTGTGGTGCAGCCGCCGCCTCTCGGTTTCTCTCCTCCTTCCTTTTTGCACTCTCCTGCTCGCTCCCTCTCGCTCCCTCACCTCACCTCTTTCTCGTTCTAACACCGAGCACTTTCACGACCGCGGCACATTCTGGCGTCGTCCTGTCCTAGCCAACCGATTCCCGGGCCTCATCTCTCTCCCTCGCTTTCTTCCTCTCCGTGCCTTTAAAAAAAACACATACGCTTAAGCGTACCATCTACACACGCACAAGGTGACGTGTGCGTGAACGGAGAGACACGCACGCACGCACGCACGCACGCACGCACCGTATCGTACCGCACCGTACCGCACCGCACCGCACCGCACCGTACCGCACCGCACCGCACCGCACCGCACCGCACCGCACCGCACCGTACCGTACCGTACCGCACCGCACCACACCGCACCGTACACGTCTACGCACACGCACACGCACACGCACGCCTTAATCCCGTGCTTTTATTGCGAGCGAGGCCGATCCCGGTGCGGATCGCGGGGGCACTCCCTCGGGCACGATGCTACGTCGTGGATGTGGCCACGTCGCCGACCTCGTCGAAGTCGCTCTCGTACCTCGCGCCTGTATTATTCTTCACTGCTCCGCGATGGCACGTCGGCGCTCTCCTCTCTTCCCTTCCTCCCTCCAGCCGTCTCTCGCTGCCTATCACTATCTCACTCTCTCTCTCTCTCTCTCTCACTCTTTCTCTTTCTCTCTCTCCCAAGCACACATATGTGGGCGCACGCGCGCGCACTTCTCATTCTCTCTCTTTCTGTTCGAACGCGCGCGCGCCATTCTACGTACACATTGACGATCGCGCAGCCAACGGGCGAACGAGTGAAGGAAAAAGAGTGAGAGGGCGTGTGTGTATGCGTGTGTGTGTGTGTGTGTGTGTGGAGAGAGAGAGAGAGAGAGAGAGAGAGATAGAGAGAGAGAGAGAGAGATAGAGAGAGAGAGAGAGAGAGTTGAATGGTCATTATTAAAATAGGATTACACGGCCATACAAGTTCATACGAATGCACATACCTGACACGCATATATATATATATATATATATATATTTCATTCGCTTCCTCTTGCTCTTTTCCTCTTCTTATTGCGCGCCCAATGTTATATAGCTCCGTCGTTCCGCGAGAGAAAACCCGCGGCTGGCGAACTCGGGCGACGGCGACGACTTCTCTACACCGTTTACATGCTCTACATGAAAATACGCGATGCCTATCCGAAAATCCGCTGTACGATGCGACGTTGGCCGAATGCGTTTCATATTGCGTTCCATATCCTTCACTCTTTCATCCTCTTTAGTTTTCTCTTTTACATGGCCATCGCCGTTGCGCGTGCATCTCTATCGTAAAGGAGAAAGAATGGTAAGGCACGGGGATATCGTTGCATGGATGATTCGTCTCTTTCGTTGCGCCGCGGTTTCTTTCCGTTACTTATATCGTAAGCGCATGTTTTCGTTCGCTAATTCCATTGCCATTCTCCCCCTGCCCGGGGGGCCCCGCGCCAAACACCAATCCCGCCGCCGTTGCGGCCCACCGTCTCTATCTCTCTCAATTCCTCTATCTTGCGGTTTATGCTCTGGTTGCTGGTAACTGAAAAGGCTCGTGTGTACGTGCGTGCGAATGCACATGTGTACGCTGGGCCGTTCGGGGACTGTGGGAGGCGGACATTGACGCGGACGGAAGAAAAACACCTAACAAGTGGCAGCCATCTTAACATTTAGATGGCGTGGACAATGCTAATATTTCGTGGAATTGGTAATTCTTCCTGTCATTCTCGGCCATCGGCTTCCAACGTCTGCTATACATTTCGTACCTCTCTTTCTCTCTTTGCCGTACAGCCATTTCCGGCTCTCTTATTTTCTCTTTCTCTTCTCATATATATACATTTATATATATATATATATATATATATATATATATATATATATATATATGTGTGTGTGTGCACATGCATGCGCGCATACATACATTTGTGTAAAAAGTGAAACACTGCGTGGATTTTTAATGCAAGTTTGTGGAGTTTTCGGTACGTACGTTTTTGTTTGCTTATGAATGGGTGTCTACGTAAATTAATTAAATCATTCTTTTTCAGAATTATGTTTATTTAAATAATTACCATTTCCATACGCTATATAGTTTCATAATTATGTTCTTTCTTCGGTTTTTCTTTCTTTTTTTTTTTTTCTAACAAAAATATACTACCATCACTGGCTATTTATATGTCATCAATGCAGAATTAACGAATTCGTTCTCTAAGTATTTATTTATCATCTAATTGTCAATTAATAATTTTAACGAACGCATTGTTATTATTTATTGTTATTATTCGAATTTTGAAGATAAACAAACGCAATATCGTTTCCCCCATTATCGCACGCTAAGATTATGTTATAAGATTTTTCACTTTCTTTTTCGTCAATTAAGCCGTTTTTTCTTCTGGAATTTCGAAAGCGCAGGAAGCATAATAAGCCTGTTATTTCAAAAATGCAACGTAATTAATCACTGAATAACTTTTGGTTAATAGTATAGATATTTAATTTATCGACTTTTGATAATACACATTCAACGTCGGATAAAAACAATGCACAATCATAATAATTGCCCAAAGTGTTATAGACAAAATTGTTTTTTTGCTTTTTTTTTTTTATTCGACATCTTTCAAATGTAAGAAATGCGTTACATATAACTTTCTTGTTTAATCGCTTTATTAGTAACATTTAATTAATAACGACGACGACACATGTCAGAATAATTTTGTTGCATTTATGTTTTATTTTACAGCATTTTAATATCACGTTTTTACGTTGATCTGTTTCAAAATATTAGTATTATTAAAAATTTAACAAATAATTGATGTTTTATTTAATGAAAAATCCCATGGAAACCACAATAAATAGACTCTTATTGTTTGACATTCATTTTGTAAAAACAATAAGTAAAATTTGTGCTTGTAATAATTAATGAAAGAAAGATTAGAAAGAAGAGTAGCGTTGACAACATGGAGATGTAAATTTTCAACGAATCTATTTAAAAAAAAAATATATATTAAAATAGGATTCGTAAATATATTGCATTAGCTTAAATAAAACAAAAAACGTTCGTAAAATAATAAATATAGAAATAAAAGATAAAAAAGAAAAAATATTTTTAGAAATTTTACAATATGATTAAAGATTTAGTAATTGCATTACGAATATGTAATTATAACAAAGTTATAATTTTAAGAAATAGAAAGAAATTAAGATAAAAAATTTCTAATTTTTGAAATTATCGTCTCTCTCTCTCTCTCTCTCTCTCTCTCTCTCTCTTGTTAACTAGATTAACTTATACGTTATATTTAAAAAATTACTTTATATTGTACTTTTATTCGATTTATTATCGTATAATAATACAAAGACATGGGCATTATATTAATAATACAGCACACCCTATTTTTCTAATTCTTTTTGAATATTGTTCGAACACACTAGCAGCCTGAATATACAATAATTCAACAAAAAATGGTGCCTAAATAAAAATTTTAAATAACCTTTAAATGTATTTATACTATTCTTGCTAAGTAATAAAATAATACGAATTTAATGACAAAGTATATTACACAAGTGTGATAATTTAAATATGATATAGAGATAAATTTTTTTTTATTTATATGACAGTTATTGTTAACAAATTTTGTTTATATTGTTTAATTGAATAAGCAAATATATTATCACAATACCATGCTTGTGTAATTGCTCAACGCATAAAGTGATTATTCTATTTTCTTTTTATGTCCAATTTTTTGTCAGAACATAGTATGTATTTATATAATATATATTATTAAAGATGCATTGACAAATTTCTTATCATCATTTTTATCAATTTTTATAAACTATTAAGGGCGTATAGATGGCACATAAACACTTGACAATATATGATAGATTTCGAAGAATTATATTATATACATTATTTATCACAACTTCTTATACAATTTTGTACATACAACTATTATGCCCTTGCAGCAGCTAAAAGAAAATCTGTTATTTTCATATTAAATATTACTTTACGCATTAGTAAACTGTGTTAGTTAAAATTTAAATGTACTATATTAGTATATAACACACAAGATATAACTATTTAAGGAGTACATTAATATAAAAATTCCGCAATTGGGATCAATTATAGTTAGTACATCCGATAGATGACTACATCGATATATAAGAATGTAACGGCGCATGTTATTATGTCTTCTTTAATATACTATTTAATAATAAAAATTAAAAAAAAAAATAAAAAAAAAACTATTAATTATAATTAATTCATAATTATTCAGTTGTAATAGTAGCAATAATTATAAAGATTTATGTTCTTTTGATTGAAAATCTATTAAATACACTTTAGGTCTAATTTTACAACAAATTTTAAATATTCTTAAAGGATCTTTGAAAATATTTATGTACATTTTAAGTAATCGATAATTATTATAAGTAAAAATCATATTCCTTTTGTATTCGCAGGATGATTAATACTCCTCTTATTGTTGGCATTATTCCAATTTATATGACCTCCGATACGAGTGAATAATGTGGAATTGCATAAGTCAAAGTTTTTACAAAGCTCACCTCTGGACGAATTGCATCCAATGATAAGCTGAAAAATGTTAGTGTAATTAGGAAATAAAATTTTAACACTAGAAGGTATAATGTTAAGCTTGTCCTTTAATAATATTTCTAAATAATACATAAATTTGCTTTATGTATACAATTATTAGAAATCGTCAAATAGTGTTAGGAATATTTTATATAAATAAAATTAAATAATTTAATTAAAAGTTATTTAAAAATCTTATTTTATAAAATTTTATTCGAATATTTGAAAAATTTATAAGCTCTCAATTGTTGATCCGTGAGTATGTAAATTATTTCAACTAAGTTTTAATTATTAGTAAATAAAAATATTGCGCATTATGAAAATAAATCGCATATCACTATACCGTTAATTTTTTAATATTCCACATGAATTTATGTGAGTATCAATAATCAAACAAAGTTTGATATTTTAATTTTTATCAAATGTTATGTTTTGTAAATTCTTTATGTATATAAAATCAACGGAATCAATAAAACATTAATTATTAACTATTTCTTTAAATTCAATGATTAAATGGTAATGCTTAGATGTTACGTTGCATTATTTTTACAAACCTTATAATACTATTTTAATTATTACTTAGGCAATTGTTAACATATAACAATCGAGATTATATGCACAAAATTAA